AGACAGTTTCTATACGGTGCCTATTTGAACATAATAAAAGTCTAGAAAATCCAGGTAGGGGAAATATGTGGAAATGCGTTTTATTCAAAATGGCCGACAAAATAGATTTTAAAAAAAATGAGAAAAAAATCGTAATGTCATCATAATATGTCATATTTATGGATAAACCTGTAATTTTTTAGATCACCACTAAGGTTTTTAATATTAGCAACCAATGCATGTATTACTCTATAGAATAATGCTAATATCTTATAAAAGCGGTCGCCATCTTGGATTTTAAAATGGCCACCATATAAAACATATATTTATCTATATCTCCGCTTCTAAACCACTTCAACTTATAATTCTAATATCAAAAAATATGTTTTGATGTTCAAGAAATAATATACAATTTTTTACAGCGTCAGATTGTCGTAAATAGGTTATTTAGGGTCATTTAAGCTCATTCAAGGTCATTATCAGGTAAAATATTTATGGAATCTTAATAAACACGGAGGTCTACAGTAACTTTCGTGTTTTACATCAGAACCTCTTAGAATTCAGTTTTTTGATGGGAACTACAATATTTCATTCAAGGTCATTTTGGTGGCCAAGGCCATGACCTTAACTGACCTATATATTATCCTAATGACCATCTGACTATGTCACAAATGGTATATTTTCTTGACCATAAAAACATAGTTTTAAACATCAGAATTCTAATTTAAAGTGATTCTAAAAGCTAAGATATTAATAAAATAGTTTTTGCATGACAGCCATTTTGAAATTAAAGATAGCTGCCAAAATTACCTTGAATAAATAAATGTAGTTTCTTGTAAAAAAAAATGAATTTCGAGAGCTTTAGTATGATTCAGATGTAAAACATGACAGGTAATTATTAGCATTCCATACAATATTTGACCTTGAATGACCTTAAATGAACAATCTGCTCAGATTATTCATTTAATGAGCTTAAATTATAATTACCTTAAATGAACAATCTTACTAGGTCAAAAATGGCATGCTAGTATTCCTTAACCATTTAGACACTGGAATTATAATTCCAAGTTAGAAGAGGAAATAATGCCATGAAGATACATAGGTTTTATAAGGTGGCCATTTTTAAATCTGGCTGCCATAATGACCTCCGATAAAATGGTTTCTATCAAAAATTGAATGCTATGACCATAAGGAGCATGTGAAAAGTTGGTGCTTTTGTCCACAAACGTCCATATGGCACTATAGCTGCCTGGCGTATTATGCATACATCACAAAATAGGTTGTCGTATTTGTGGCAGCCATCTTGAAATTAATGATACCCACATCAAATAAGTGTACCTGTATGCATCAGAACAATTTTAGGATTTGTAAATATATTTTAGAAAAAAAAATGCTGAAATATGTTGAAAAGATCCAAGTTTTTTTCAATTTTTGGTTAAAACTAGCCATTTTTGGCGGCCATTTTGAAAAAAACACACTTCCCCTATGTGGATTTTTCCAGACTTTTTTGTATGTTCCTACAGAGACTTTAAGAAAATACACTGTGCAAACAGAAATTCTGTTTTTTTCTTGTACTACATTACATTGTTTACAGTGTCACACATTGATTCCTGTGGTTTGACCAAGGAGGGTTTGACCAAGGCAATAGACCTTTCCGGGCTGTCAATCAAACTTCCAAGTAACCAATCAGAACAAGGCATATACGCGCTGTTTACAAACACGTTTTCCACACAAACACACACGAGTTACGAGTTTGTGCAGTGCGAGAAGCGACGTCGATGATATGACTATGCAGTAGGAAACCTTTACCATGAAGCAAAAAAAGAGAAAAAAAAATTGCCTAGGCCTACTGTCAATGGAATATGGCTTGTGGAAGACGGCATGTCCTATATTTCAACAGGGTAAACAAGCATACAGCTCAACGGTAGGATTTCATTTATTTAAGTTAAGTGAGGCCAACAAAAATAATCGGGTCGCGTCGGGGTTGGCCTAGCCATAGGCCTATTCCGATGTTGATCTTCTCCAATGCCTAGGCCTACATTTTAAGATATTCGACCTCAGCAGCTGCATTCCGCGATGGATCGCGCCTGATCTCAGGACATAGGGCCTGGTATTAATTTTTCTAATAAATTGTGATCTATAAATAGATT